AGATACTCTCGGTAGCTTGCCGGGCTCTCCGAGAGGGGTGGAGGAATCGAACCTGGGTCAGCTGGGTCGGCCTAGTCAGACGCATGCAAGGCAAATGCCCTACCTGCTGTGCTATCGCTCCAGCCCAAAACGACAATAACCAATGGTATAGTAAGTGAAAAGGAGATTGAGTCGATTCTGTAACATCCGACTTTGTACGAGACCCAGAATTGAATGAGTCCGGTCACAATCACACCCCTTTGGAATTTCACCTGACTTCATAACATCCACATTATGTTCATGTTTCAGATAAAACGTTTCTCCTTAGGGAACGAAGCTTCCCGTGAAGCTTCAACTGCCAAGAAGGCCTAAGCTGTCTGTTTCTCTTTCCTCTCAGGGAAATATGATTGTGGGGTTCCCTGGGAGCGCTTGACTCAATCAAGATGTTTTAAAATGCTTTTTGTGTCACACCAGCGATGATCAGAGGTTAATCCTGGTTCTGCACTCGGGAATTACTCCTGGCAGCGCTCGGGGAACCATATGGGATGCCGGGGATCGAACCCAGGTTGGCTGCGTGCAAGGCAAACCCTCCAGCTGCTGTACTGTCGCTCTGGCCTCTCAACTGAGGTTTTACTCCTGGGAAGAATTTTGATTTGTGGGAAGTCTTGACAGAGGTATTAAAAGGCGCATTTTAAAATCACTTGCACGTAGGGGCTGGAGCGGTGGTCCTGTGGGTAGGGCGTTTGCCTTGCATGCGGCTGACCTGGGTTCGACTCCCGGCTTCCCTTACGGTCCCCCGAGCGGAGCCAGGAGCAATTCCTGAGTGCAAAGCCAGGAGGAACCCCCGTGCATCGCCAGGTGTGACCCAAGAAGCAAAATAAATAAATCAATGAATAAATAAAATCACTTGCACGGATTTCCACAAAACAAGACTTAATCACCCACTTCACCCCAGCAGCAAGGATTTCTAAACTTCCAATTAAACTTAGCTCATTTAAAAACAAGACTGGGTTCATTTGAAAACTGGTATGTTGCAAAACCCAAGCATAAAATTGCAAGCTTGTTTTCCGTTTGCACAAATAGTTTTTGTTGACATTTTTAAAGTATCTGGGTCAGGGAAGTCACATCCTCGTTATCAGTCTGAATTACGCCGTCAGGTCAGTCCGGGGCTCAGCTGAAAGCAAGAGAGAAGGTACAAACGTCACACAGCCCAGATCACGTTAGCCTGGCGCCGCCCCTCAAAGCTGAGCACCGTGAACAGAGCTGCCCCTGGCGAGACACGTGAAGGGGCAGGGCTGGCATCGACGAGCCGTTCCCTCCCTCCTTGCCTCCTGAGGGCCACGGCATGGTGGAATCAGAAGGGCAAGACTTTCAGGTGTGGGGGCACCTGCTGGAGGAGGAGGGGAAGGAGCGACTGTGTTCATCTGCGTGCAGGGGGCTTCGACCTGTCCCTGCCCTCCCCGTGCGGCAGCGAATTCCAAAGCCTGGGCAGGAGCCAGGGAAGGGAAAGGATCAGGAGGCAGCAGCTGCTCAGGCCGCGGCCGGGAGCACTGCGAGCAGGGTCCAGCGTGCGGAGAGAGACGGCCTCCCCGTGGCTGGTGCTCCCCAGGAGGGAGGCCGAGGGGCTGGGGCTTATGTGCGGATTCCCTCTGCGCATTCAAACTCCGCAGTGGCCCAAGAGAGCTCGTCGGGCTGCACGCAGGGTCTGCACGTAGGAGCCCCAGCCTTGATCCCGGACCCTGGGGTCGCCGAGCACCACCGTGAGCAACCCCCGAGCACTGCGCTGCGAGTAGCAGCCCCTGAGAACTATAAAACAACTCCCCCCACAGCGAATTATTTCGCATGATGTACAGGCCTCTTGGCGGGCTGGTCCCTGTGGGCACTTGGGCGTGCCCCGGGCACTCTCTCCCCGTCGCCTTCCACGCTCAGCCCGCCTTCTTCAGCCTGGGCGATTCTCTTCCTGCCTTTAAGGCTCGGCTTAGACGTCCCTTCGGGGAAAAAACAGCTGAAAACTAGCCCGAGTGCCCTCCCGTGTGAGCCCAGGCCCGGCCGGGGTCAGGGTGCCGGGGGAGGCGTGGCGCAGTGTGTGCAGATCCAGGGCTGTCGGGGACTTTCAGCCGAGCGGGCAGGGAGTGACCGTGGTTCCGGCACAGGAGGGCAAACATTCCCACCCAGCCGGCCGCACTGGCGCGCAGGTGTGGCCGAGATGTCGTCACGCGCGGAGTCCGTGCCACACGGGAAGGGGTGCCCTGCCCCCCGTGCTAATAAACTCCCGCATTGCGAAAGGCCGAGAGCGGGGTAGCACCCCAGGGAGGGGAGCGGACACGCTTCCCGGCAGGGAAAGGCTGGGCGGGCTTTAAGGATCCCTTCGCGGGCCTGGAGAGGAAGGAGAGCGGGAGGACTTGCCTCGCCCCTGGCTGGCCTGGGTTCGATTCCCAGTATCCCGTGCGGTCCTCCACACACGGACAGGACTAGTTCTGGAGGGCCAGAGGGCAGAGCCAGGAGTAACCCTGAGCATTGCCCGGAGTGGCCCAGAATCAAACAAACGAAAAAATCCATTTAAATAAGATTTAAAATCGGCGTGTCAGTCTGAGAAAACAGAAGTCAGCGGTTCGCCCGAGCAGCCTCTCACAGACTCCGCAGAGGTTCCCAAACACTCCAGCCCACGAGTGTTAGCCCAAGCCTGTCCCCGCCCGCCCCACTTTGCGTTCCCTGCTCCCCACTTTTGAGGCACTGCCAGCCAGGGGTACCTGGAGCACTAACATGGGGGCACAGGGTGCGTGACCCCCCCAGGCCAGACACCCAGTCCCCAGAACTCTGAGTCCCCAGAACTTTCTCCCTTAGTCGGGGCTGGGCTGTGGCTCACGGAGTCAGTGCGTGCTCGGTGTGAGAGCCCCGGGGTCTGGAGCTGGGAGGGACCCTGAGCACCACTGGGGTGGCCCCACACTAGAGCACGTGCCTGGCACATGGGAGGGCCGGGTGTGATCCCCAGACTCCGCAGAAGAGCTAAAGCTGCTCGCACCAGCTGGAAAGGGCTGGGGACTTGGGGTCTGCCTGGCAGAGAAGAAGCTGCCAAGCCTAGCAGCCGGGGGGCTGCAGCCCCCTGAAACCGGGGCAGGGTGGGGCTTGAAGGGCGAGCCGGGTGGCAGGAAGACAGGAGGGACCACCTAAATGCAGAGAGCCGGGGTCGGTGCCATGCGGGAGTCAGGGTGGTCTCTGGGCACACCCCGGGAGCAAGGCCCAGGAGGGAGCCCTGGGGCTCAGGTGGGCCATTCGAACCTCCCCACCACTTCCACCCTGAGACTTGACCTCCCGGCCTCCGAGAAGCAGAGCAAGGGAATCAGCCTGGTTCCAGCTGGGGAGTTTGGTTTCTCAGACCCAGACTGTGGACTCCCGAGCCTCCTGCTTGCTGTAAGGAAGACAATTTCCCTGTGCAGAAACAAGCCCAAGCAAGCGTCTGAATCTAGGGGAAACAAACAAAAAGTCAGGATTCTTAGCGGGGGAATAACATTGATGGCCAGGAGTTTAATTCTCCAGGCACTTGAGTTAGATCCATCCAGAAAGACATTCGTTGACAAGCACTGGCAGGGTAATGATCTAACTGGTATCATGTTACCCGTTTAAAATAATGAAAAAAACTTTTGAAAGATGATTTGCACTGTCGGATGACGGTCAGTTTCTTGCATCTTTTATTCAACAAAAAAACTTGGGAGTCAACGACTGTGGGGGGCAATTTCTGTAAATAGGAATTTTTTTTTTTTTTTTTTTTTGCTTTTTGGGTCCCAGCCGGCCATGCTCAGGGGTTCTTCCTGGCTCTGCTCTCAGGAATGAGCCCTGGTGGTGCTCAGGGACCACATGGGATGCCGGGACTCGAACCTGGGTTCGCTGCACATGCTAGGTGAAGGCCTTACGGGCCCTTAAATAGGAATTTTTGAAATTTTTTTTTTTTGGTAAATGTTCATAAACTTCGGGCCGGGCAGATCGCTCCACGGGCTGGAGCTGGCAGAGGCCCAGAGGGGCGGCGAGGAGTGGGCAGCCTCGTCACTGCGCCCCAGCTCTACGCTGCTGGCAAGGCCGGGTCTCTGCAGGGCTGGGGCGAGGGGGCCGCTGCCCACGAGGCCCCCGGCTGGCCGGTAGCTGCAGCCCTGGCAGGGGCCGAGTGGGCCGTGCAGCGGGAGCAGGAAGCGGCGCTGCCCACCTGCCTCCCTGGCAGGCCCCGTGGGTGCGAGCCAGCCCCTGCCCCTCCTCTTTTCCCTCCCTGGGTCACTCCTGGCGGTGCTGGGGGACCCGAGGGGGTGCGGGCGGGGAGTCGAACCCGGGCCGCCCCGCTGTGCTGGCGCTGCAGCGTAAAACCGGTTCCCTTCGGCGTGGGGCCAGCGGGGCACGGCCCGGGCGCGGCACTCGGGGACCGGCCGGCGGGACCCCCGTGGGGTCTGCGGAGGCCGAACCCGGGCTGGCCGCGTGCCCGGCGCGCGCCCCCCGCTTGCCGGACCCGGCTCGACCCCGCAGTTCGCACTCGGGGCGCCCCAAGGGCCCCCCACCCGACCCCGCGCGCCCGAGGGCACGTGGGCGTCGGGCCGCCTGCGCGGGTCGCTCCCGGGCGCCGCCGCCGCGCAGGTCCCTTGGGCGGGGGCGCGCGGGCGGGGGCGCGCGGAGGGTCGACGGCTGCGCAGTGCGCGGCGGCGGGCGGCGGCGGGGGCGCGCGCGCGGGGGCGGGCGGCGGCGGGCGCGCGCGGGGCGGGCGGCGGCGGCTGCGCAGTGGCGGGGGCGCGGCGGGGGCGCGCGCGGGGCGGCGGCGGCGGCTGCGCAGTGGCGGGGGCGCGGCGGGGGCGCGCGCGGGGCGGCGGCGGCGGCTGCGCAGTGGCGGGGGCGCGGCGGGGGCGCGCGTGCGCGGGGCGGGCGCGCGCGCGGCGGGCGCCATGATGCGGGCGGCGCGCGGGCGCGGGGCGCCGTGGGTGTGACGGGCGCGGCGCGGCGCCGGGCGTCGGCGGGGTCGGGCCATTGTGCGCGGCGGCGGCGGCGGCGGCGGCGGCGGCGGGCGGACGGCGCGCGGCCCCTCTGCGCCCCCTGGCCGGCCCGGGAGGGCGGCGGGGGGCCCGGCCCGCCATGAACCCGGGCTTCGACCTGTCCCGCCGGAACCCGCAGGAGGACTTCGAGCTGGTGCAGCGCATCGGCAGCGGCACCTACGGCGACGTCTACAAGGTGCGGCCGGGGTGGGCGGGGGTCGAGGGGGGCCCGGGGCGCCCCGCGCCGCCCCCGCGAAGGCGCGGGACCCGAGACCCCCGGCCCCGAGCCCCCCCCGCCCCACGTGGGTGCTCGCGGGCCGCCCGGGGGTCTCCCCTGCCCGGGCCGGGGGCGCGGGGGTCGCAGGTCGAGCTCGCCCTGGGCCGGGGCGGCCGGACGGGCAGCAGAGCCAGCGGTTCGGCCCGGGTCGCCGGAGCCCCCCGGGGCCGCCCTGCGGTCGGAGGGGTCTCGCCCTGGACCCGCGTCCCGTGGGCTGGCGCGGCCCGGTCCACCCCGGTTGCCCTGGCCCCTCTCTGCAAGCCCGGGACGGGGCTGGGCCCGTGGTCCACTCGCCGCCCCCCGCCCGGCCCCCAAACCCGGCAGCAGCCGCGAAATTCCAAGCCCGCCCCGTGGCAGGCTCCGAGCTGGGATGCGGACGATCGGTGACCAGGTGACCAGGTGACCAGGTGACCAGGTGACCGGGTGACCTGACGACAGAACCCGGCTCCTTCGAGGTGTCCCGGTCAGTGGGTGTCGCCCCAGTTTTGCCCCACATGCGAATCTCCTTGTTTCAGAGGCCCCGGGAGGGCACAGCGGAGTGTCCAGGCCCCCCTGGCTCTGTCTCAGGCCGCGGCCAGCGCAGGGCAGCTGGGAGCCCTCGGGCCCTGCAGGACGGCTTCAGGCCTTCGTCCCCCCGCCCAGACCCGGGATCCCGGGGCAGCGAGCGTGGCCGGTGGCAGGTTCCCGGGAGTCCGGCTCTGCCAGGTCGCGGGCAGCGTTGGCCAGCCAGCGGGCAGCTTGCCCCGGGCCAGGGCTGGCGTCTGAGATGACTCCCGGCCAATTTGTACCACTCCAACCTCAAGAGTCCTCGTGTCCTGATACTCTTCTGCGCCTGTTGCTGGAGAGAGGCAGGTGGGTCCGACCTAAAACCCTCGGGGGAACGGTTTTCTTTTCCTTTTTGACTTGAAGTGGGATTGTCGTCCGGTTGACATCCTGCCGGTCTCCAGTGCGCGTCCTGGGAGGTCAGCCCGGGATGACGGCCTGCCTTTGCCGCGGAGCGTCCGGTTTTGTCCTTCTAAACGCGCTTGCCCTTTGTGGCCCCAGCCTCTCTGTGGGTGACCCCTAATGGCTATTAGGCACCTCCCAGACGGACTTTTGCTTTACCTAGTCCTGCTGTTTATAGCCTGGCTGGCAAGCTCCCCGCGACGTCTTCGATATGCCAGCGACAGTAACAAGGAGTCTCACAATGGAGACGTTACTGGGCCCGCTCGAGCAAATCGATGAACAGCGGGAGGACCGTGCTACAGTTAATTTCCTCTTATATCGTCTGAGGGCTTTTGTCTTTGACTTGTCTGCCTGAGCTTGATCTGCTCTGGGCTTTTCAATGAATGGGAAGGAGTCATCTATTTTTCTTCCTGAAAGAGTTGAGTTCTATTTGCTGTGTATCTAGACCGTCTTCATCTACCCTAGGTTTTGCTGTGCAAAGGTGCTGCCCAAATAGGGACTTAGGTACATCTCTTCGAATTAGTGGGTCTTTCCTGTAAATCGCCGGACCTGGGATAGCTTGACTACAGGGGTGGAATGTCCATTTTTTGATTTCTGGAGGCATCGCCGTCTGCTTTCCGGGGGGGCTGCCCAGTCAGTGGCAGCCAGCAGTGCTCCGGCCCCCCAAGCCTCCGACGGGCAGGTGCCCTCTGCTGGGGCCCTTCCCAGGCCCGGGAGCTGGTGGGCGTCTGCCTGTCCCGGGCCCATCTGCCCTGTCCCCGGAGGAGTGTCTGTTCCGATCGGAAGAAACGGTTTCAGCGTGTTCCAAGGAGGAACGTGTTTGGAGACGGAGTGTGAGCCGCCCCAGCCGTGCTGGGAAGACTCTGTGGGTCTCGCCCTGGGCTCCCTCGACCTCCTGCCCTGACCCCTGCAGGCCGGGGAGGCTTTGCTTCCGGTCTCCAGGCTGCCTCTTTCCTCCTGCATCCATCGCCCGCCTGACCTTCACACGGGCTTCTTCCAAGTGCGTTTCTTTCTCAGCCCCTTCTCGCCACGGCTCCAGACTCGACGGCTTATCAGACCTGATGCCTTGAGTCCTTCGTTCTTCGGATTGGACCGGGGGGCCTTTTCCAGACCGCGTCCCGGATGCTCCAGAGAAAGCAGTGCTCATGAGAAAACCAGGAGGCGTGCCGGCGGGGAGATGGGCTCAGCACCACCTATGCCGGCCCCCACGGGGCTCTTCTGCAGCCCCCACGGTGGGCCCCGCGTGGTGCCTCCTGGGTCTGCAAGGAAGCTGTTCCTGGGGAGGGTGCGGCCGCTGGCCCTGGGAGACGGTCACTCCGCGAGCCTGAGCACCTTGAGGTGTTTGTGAGTGGTGTTGAGTCCTGACTCCCGATACTTTTGTCGGTCTCTGGGCCGCACCCGGCTGTGCTCGTGGTCCTCCTCCACTCCGCTCAGCGTCTCGGGGACAGTGGGACCCCCTGTGGTGCCGGGGGTCAGATTCAGCCGGGCCACCACGAGCAAGGCAGGCGTCTTACCTTCCCTGGTATTTCTCTGGCTCCGGTCCTCGCATCTTTCAGTTACTGACATCGGTGGCCGTTTTTATTGTGGTCGTCATTTGTGAGATTCTTTTCAAAATATTGAATTCTGATGCCGCTGTTGAGAGACGTGAAGCTCTTAGGCATTCAGGAAGAAACAGGAAAGAAAATGAAAGGGGCTGGTCTGCTCACTCCTACTTCCAGGGAGGACAGAGTCCAGAGAGCGAGAGTGACCCCCCGCCTGAGGTTCGAATCCAGCCTCCACGGTTCCAGGCACCGCGCATGGCTGATGCACAGAGTTCGGAGTTGGGGAGTGTGTGAGTGGCGAAGGGACGGAGTTTAGCGTTTCCCGGGGATTGTGTCCGCAGTTGCGGGAGGGAGGTCAGAGCGAAGCGGCTCCTGGCTGCAGTCGTTCCTGGAGGTAGAACCGCACAGCGGAGCAACGTGGGCCGCTTCTCCCGAGATCTTTAAGAGCGGCCGGTTCTCTGGCGCCGATTTGGATCTCATTCCCTAAAGGAGATTCTGCGTGATTTTATCAGAGTTTCCTTTGCTTGTGAAAGAGCGCGTCATGGTGACTTTGTAGTGAGGGTGAAGAGTCGGTCGTTCCCTCTGGAGGGCTCATGGGAACAGCCGCCCTCCCCCAGCAGCCGTCCGAGGAGACGGGCCGAGAGCAGAGCGGCACTTGGTGTTCTCGGAGACGGAACGCGTTGCCTGCTGCTCGCTCCCCTCATTGAGGGAGAAGAGCGTGCTGACCCCTCTCCTGCGCGTCAGTGCCCTAGGCGGAGATGAACCCGGATCTGCCTCGCAGACCCCGTGGTTCTCGAGTGGGCTCTGCTCCCAGCCAGGCTTCAGCGCCGCTCGCCAGCTCCTGGGCAGGACGTTTCCCTTGTCAAGTAGGCGTGGGCCTGGGCGGAACCTGACACGGGGACCCAGCCGGTGGCCTTTGCTGTCGGGTGGCCGGTGCGGTATGGAGCGGATGCCGTCTCCCCCAGCTCTGGGCTGCGCTGCTCTCCCGGGGGGCTCAGCTCCACCCCACCCCACCCCACCCCACCCCACCCCCCAAGGTGCTCACCGCAGAGAGCAGTGCTGTCCTCCTTTCTGTCTTTACGGGTGGCTGCAGAGTCGGAGAGCCTGGAGTTCAGACAGATGGGGTGGGCGCTCATTAGAAGGGAAAGAAGTCGCACTGAGAGCCTTGGGACTATCTTTGAAAAGTGAATGTTTTCGAGGTGTCCTAGGAAATTCCGTAACCTTAAGTCAGGCCCCTCTCCTCGGAGCCTCCTGGCACGTCCTCAGGACACTGTCGCAAAACACTCCCCGGTGGACCCTCGTTTCCCACCCTGCTGCGGTGTCTCCTGTCGCAGCTGCTCCAGCCCCTCGGACTTCGTTAGGAAGCTCAGCTCTGCTCTGCGCTCACACACACACACCGTACACACATGCAGTAACCCCACGCCCCCGGGGGTGCCACTTTCCTTTGTTGTCTGTTTCTCCCTGTGGCGTGTGAGGACGGAGCTGGGCTGACACACTTTAGACTCAGCACGTTTGTGGCCTGAGAGGGACATGCGTGTGCTGATGTCTGGAGGAAGCGGATCACGTCTGACGTTCACGGGTGCAGAAGGCAGGTAGCGTTGGGGCCAAGGCAAGCCAGGTCACTAGGGTCAGTCTACGTATCTTCCACACTTTAAGCAGTTCCCACGACTGTCCGTGCCGCGAAGACAGTCTGTTCCTCTTTACGTCATCTCTCATACCCAGGACCACACACCCAGTGTGTGGGGCCTGGAGGGAGACTGGGCCGCCACCGGACAGAGCCCCTGCACAGCTCTGCCAGTGTGATTTTTTGGCGTGCTGGGTGGGGTGGGTGGGGGAAGTTCACGCCACAGCCAGCGGTTCTTGGGGCTACTTCCTTTTTATTTATTTTTAACATTTGGGTCACATCTAGTGACGCTTGGGTTCCTCCTGGCTGTGCACTCAGGAATTACTCCTGGCGATGCTCGGGCCTCTGTGGGATGCCGGGGATCGAACCCGGGTCGGCCGCGTGCAAGGCAAATGCCTTCCCCACTGTGCTGTCACTGTGCTGTCACGGCACGTGGGGTGCTGGCATCAGGTCCGGTCAGCTGAGTGCACGGCAAGCACCTGCCCTCTGTGTTCCCCTGGCCCCGCTTTCTCCTTCTAAACTAGTGACCTTCAGTGACTGACGAGTGAGGAAATGCAGCAGTTACCAGCAGGCCTCAGTCGGCAGGTGAGCTCATGGAGGTTTGCTTTGTGCATTCCACTCTTCTGTGTCTGGAAGACGCCCCGTGTCAGAGTTCCAGCTGCCCTCACCTGAGCTGACAGGGTTAGACTCCAGTGGGACAGATGGCACCTGCCCTGCCCCTGTGACTCGGGAAGAAGTCTAACCTGGACCTTAACTTTAGGTGTGTTCGAAGAAGATGTTTCCTTGCTCAGTTATCCCTAGAAATGTGC